CTGCCACAACGCCCAGCTATTTTTTGGTTGCAGCCATCATTGTTGTTTGGCGGGCCCAGGCTGGGGATTCAAACCCCGCCACCTTAGGTGTATGTGGCTGGCGCCTTAGCCACTTGAGCCACAGGCACTGAGCCAAGTACTTGATTTTTAAAAGGAGTTTCCATGTCTTCACCTCTAATCTCTAAGATATAGAGTTATATCTACCTTTGTGGGTTATTGAAAAGATTAGCGGTAAAGCGTATAAAACATCTCAAAGGGTAGTGCTCTATCTACTCAAACAGTGATACATTTTAAAGTGATTATCAAGAGTCTGACACTGGTACAAAAAGTTTTTATTATCAGCATAGTACAGTATTCAAGGATTTTATCAAGCGATCTTCAAAGTATATTTCCTCCAAGGAGAGCAAGTCTTTTTTATGGGATACACACATGTGTACCATGCCTAGGAAAGACCTAATCTCTGGTTTTTACTGCCCTTCTCTTTTCTCTCCTTCTCGTCTTCCTCTTTACATTCGGAAGCTCCTTCTTTACATCTAAGTTCTTTTTGTAAACAATCCTTACAACTAATCAGTTGAGTGCTGTAGTTTCCTCTTTATAAAATTATTAGACTTTTCTAGGACTTCTCTGTTTCTTCATAGAGGTTTTCCATTTTTTTCCCTCCACATGGCTCTTTTTATTAATTGACTCATTTTAGGGGCCGCTTAGTTGGCTGGGGATAAGAAAATGTTGAAAAACACAGCAAATAAGACACAAGCCAGGTAAGCAGCAATTGCGATCCAGAACCTTGGGTCTTTCAGGAGAGCTTTATCAAAGCTGCTAAACACGGTGTAACCTATGGACATTCCAGCAAATCCACCGGCAATATGAGCTGCGAAAGACACCTTTGGAGAAAAGGGCAGGAAATGGAAGTAAGTGAAGAAAATGCTAATTACGTATTTAGGTTGCATCTCTCTTAGTCAAACACAGAAACCATCACAGTCAAACAAGAGTCCTCCAAATCTGGAGAACTAGGGGTTAGGCAGAAGAGACACAAAACTCCAAATGCTCAGAGAGACAGAGATGTTCTAGAACGTGCAAAGCTAAAAGTCATTTTCACCCGTTCTCTGAGTGAACAAGACAGAGTCATTGTTTCTCATTCTTGATCATCACTGCATTTGGGATTGTTCAGTATAATTGCAACCAAGAGAATAGGAGTTGAGTTGCCATAAGGGATCTCTATAGAAACATAATCTGATCCCACATAAATGGGATGTCAGAATTAAAATGCAAGTAGTAACATAATACACACATCCTCAAACAGAAACTACCAAATTTAAGAACTAATCCCAGCAAAACTGGAAGTCTTTGTCAGTTGTTTTTTAGAGACAGGGTCTCACTCTATCGCCCTTGGTAGAGAGCTGTGGTGTCACACAGCTCACAGCAACCTCCAACTCCTGGGTTTAGGCGATTCTCTTGCCTCAGCCTTCCGAGTAGCTGGGACTACAGGCGCCCGCCACAATGCCTGGCTATTTTTTTGTTGCAGTTTGGCCAAGGCTGGTTTCGAACCTGCCACCCTTGGTATATGAGGCCGGCACCCTACCCACTGAGCCACAGGCAATGCCCCTTTGTCAGTTTTTGTGATGAATGCATATGGACTGAAATTTTCACTGCTGTTTCCCAATCAGCTTTTTCTTCTCTGTGAACAGGGCACTTCACCTCTTATAGAATAGCTGGTAATATGGCAGGTTGAGCCTCGTGGTCAGAGATATGGGAGAGTTAAATGATAAGGACCATCCAACAGTATGATTTCCTCAGGAATTTTCTTCCAAATGAAAGCTTGACTTCCCTAAATCACAGAGTGCTAACTCCCCATTTAATGACCCCTTTTCATGGGTAAATTAAAAGAAGAAACCAAACTCACCGGAGACCCGTTTGCAGGGACAAAGAACCTTCTGTAGAGAGCAAATCCCATGTCTGACAGAACTAGAAGGAAAAACACCCCAATGAAGCCTCAGGATCTCCACTACTATGCACCAAATGTTTTTGGTTCCCATAATAGTAACAGCTAACATTTATTGAGACTTAGTCTGTAAGAGCTGTACATATGTCATTAACTAATTGATCCTCATGACAACCCTGTGAAGTAGATACTATTAGTATCCCATTTTATAGATTCATTCATCCAGATACTTATCGATCATCGTCTGTGTCAGGCATTATTCTAGGTGGTAGATACACAGCAATGGACAGATCAGACAGCTTTCCTCATGGAGCTCGCAGTCCAGTGGGGACACAGAGATGAGTAAGTAAAACACGCGTTATGTCAAATGGTGCTGAGTGCTAAGGAGAAAATACAAAGAGAGGAAAAAGAACTAACAGTGCCTGGTGTAGGATGTGATCTTTGGGGGGAACCAAGGCTCACTGTGTCGCCCTGGGTAGAGTGCTGTGGCATCATTGTGGCTCATAGCAACCTCAAACTCCTAGGCTCAAGCAATCCACCACCTCAGCCTCCTGGAGTGCTGGGATTACAGGCATGAGCCACTATCCCTGACTGTGATTTTTTTCTTTTTAATGGGAAGGTCAGGAAGGATCTCTTTGAGAATATGACATTGGACAGAAATAAAGGAGCAAGCCACACTGATATTTGAAATAAGAGTCTTCCAGGCAGAAGAGCATGTGCAAGTCCCTTCAGGCAGGAATGTGCCTGGTGTGTTTGATGAACACTAAGGCAATTGATCTTGCTGGAATAATGGTTTTCAAAGTGTGGTTCTCTCCAAGGCCAGCAGCGTCTGGGAACTTACCGGAAATTAAAATTCTTAGACCCACCCTAGGTCTACTGAACTAGAAACCCCGAGGGAAGGACTCAGCATTTCTAACTAACACTTAGGTAGAAAACACAGCATTCTGTACTTTAGCAAGACCTCCAGGTGACTCTGGGCTACAGGTAGGGATGAAGTAAGTGATGGGAATGGGGAAGTAGCAGGGCCCAGATCATGTAGGGGCCTCATGGGCCATTTTAAGGGCTTGACATGGCGTGATAAGAAGACTTTGAAAGCTTTTGACCACAGGAATGACATGATTTGATGTCTGTTTTTAAAAGATCACTCAGGGCTTGGCGCCTGTAGCACAGTGGTTACAGTGCCTGCCACATACACCAAGGGTGGCAGGTTCAAACCCGGCCCAGGCCAGCTAAACAACAATGACAACTGTAACAAAAAATAGCTGGGCACTGTGGTGGGCGCCTGTAGTCCTGGCTACTTTGGAGGCTGAGGCAAGAGAATCACTTAAGCCCAAGAGTTTGAGGTTACTGTGAGCTGTGATTCCATAGTACTCTACCGAGGGCAACATAGTGAGACTGTCTCAAAAAAAAAAAAAAGAAAAATCACTCTGGATGCTCCCATAGGGGAGCAGGAACCAGAACAGGGAGGCCAGGTAGAAGAACACTATTGCAGCAATCCAAATGAGGAACGATGGTGGCGTTTTATACGTACAGGAACCAAGACCAGCCCCAGTGGCTCATACCAGTAATCCTAACACTTTGAGAGGCCCAGGTGGATAGAATGCGTGACCTCAGGAGTTCAAGATCAACCCGAGCTAGAGCGAGACCCTGTCTTTAAAAACAGCCTAGCATTGTGGCAGGTGCTTATAGTCCCAGCTACTTGGGACTGAGGCAAGAGGATCACTTGAGTCCAAGAGTTTAAGGTTGCTGTGAGCTATGACACCATGGCACTCTACTCAAGATGACAGAGTAAGACTCTCGAAAGGAGAAGACAGAAGAGGAGGGGAGGGGAAGGGAGGGGAGGAGAGGAGAGGAGAGACAAGGTAAAAAGCAAGAAACCACGAATCCATCATGCTAATTCCCTCTCTTTTACCATCAGGACTGCTGAAGACAGGCCAGGAAAGGACCGTCTCCAATAGAACTGTGAAAGCCAGAACTTAGACATTCTTTAAGCCAGATCTGTGCCACAGAAGAATCTTCCAATTTATTGGCCTAGAAAAACTCTGCTGTACATGTAGGACGCTCGGAAACATCTCTTACAGATATCACATTCCACCCCCATCTCGCAATTCCCTGTGCTCTACTTAGTGAGCTGCTGTGTCCTAGGAGATGGAAAGACCTAGTCCTTGCCTGTGGGAAAATAGCATCAGGACCGTGTGTTCTGGTTAGTTCCCCCTTCAATATCGTATTGATGTTGAAGTCACTGGACAGAAATTGAGGTCGAGGAAGTACTCAATATTAATTTCATTGTAATTGACTATTACACATAGTGCTGAATAAATTAGGCTGTATCATATTTTCAATCAATTGTGTTTCCTGTTCCAGTGTAAATAATACACAGAGAAGACTGAAAGTGTGAGAAAACCACTGCCAGACAGGGGCAGACTTCCCCGGAAACTATTACTTCTGTCTGGTCTTCCACAATCGGAGGCCTCCTCTCAAAAAAAACAACTTTGTAACAGTTAGCATGTGAATATCTGGTTTATCTTTCCCCCTTCCTATATCTCGCCTGGCTTTTTCTTCTTTCTGCTTCTTTAGGGGAGTTTGCTTCTGGGTTGCTGCAGCCTCTAAACTGAGACATATCTTCCCCACTCCAAAAGAATCCCTAATTCCAAAGAGTTGCCTTTATACGGATTTTGTAAAAGATGAAAATGTGAGATTTCTTTAACTTTTCCCAAAGAAAAGCTCTGTTGCTTAGTTAGAAAATACATTCCCCTTGGTGGCGCCCATAGCTCAGTGGGTAGGGCGCTGGCCATGTACACTGGCTGGTGGGTTCAAACCCGGCCCGAGCCAGCTAAAACAACAATGGCAACAACAACAACAACAAATAGCCAGGTGTTGTGGCAGGTGCCTATAGTCCCAGCTACTTGGGAGGCTGAGGCAA